TACTACTACTACTACTACTAGTACTACTACTGTGGCTGCTACGGCGACTACTACGACTGCTACGACTACTACGCCTGCGACGGCGAGTACTACGACGACGGCTGCTACTACGACAACTGCTACGACTACTACGGCATCCGACTCTTCCGCCCTCCTCCTCCTTTGCCCCCGTTGTCCTCCACGTGTTCCGCCCTCCGTCCTCATTCTCTTCCCGCTCCTCGTCCTCCTCTCCCGCCTCCTCCTCGGTTCCCTCCTCCTTGTCGTACTACTACTACTACTACTACCACTACTACTACTACTACTACTACTACTACTACTACCACTACTACTACTACTGGTACTACTACTACTACTACTACTACTACTACTACTACTACTACTATTCCTACTACTACTACTACTGCTACTACTACTACTACTACTACTACTACTACTACTACTACTGCTACTACTACTACTACTACTACTGCTGCTGCTACTACTACTACTACTACGACTACTACTACTTCTACGACTACTACTACTACTACTACTACTACTACTACTACTACTACTACTACTACTGGTGCTACTACTACTATTACTACTACTGCTACTACTACTACTACGACGACGACTACTACTACCAATTCTACTTCTACTACTACTACTATTACTACTACGACGACGACGACGACTACTACTACTACGGCTACTACTACCACGACTGCGGTTGCTACGGTTACTATTACTACCGCTGCTACTGCTACCACGACGACGACGACGACGACGACGACGACTACTACTACTACTGCCACTGCTGCCACTACTACTACTTCTACTACTACTACTACTACGACTACTACTACTACTACCGCTACTGCTACTTCTACTACCACTGCTACTACGATTACTACTACTACCACTACGACTACTGTTATCACTACTACTACTATTGCTGCCATTGCTACTACTACTAACATCACATAACTGTTACTACTGCGGTTACCACGATTATTTCTATTAGTATTAGTATTACCACTACTACTACCACTACTACGACTACGACTACTACTACTACGATGGCGATTATTCTTACTACTGCTACTACTATTACTAATACTGGTACTACTACTACTACTACTACTACTACTACCACTACCACTACTACTACTATTACTACTACTGTTACTACGACTACCACTATTACTACGATTGTGACGACCACCACTACTACGATAACGGGATCTACTGCTAGTACTACCAACTCCTATCACGCCTACGGCTACTGCTACCACTTCTATCCCTACTATTGCTACGCCTGCTATTTCCACTATCATTGATATTTCTATTGATGCTACTACTACTAGTACGTCTGCGACTATGACTACTATTTTTTTGCGACTATTTTTTGCGATTGCTACTACTACCGCCACCATGCCTATCACTGCGACTTCTATTACTACCACGACAACTACTACTACGACCTTTACGACTGCTACTGCGACTGCTACTACTCTCATTGTTACCCCGACGACGACGACGATTACTACTATTACAGCTATGGGTAATGGTGTTGTGTGGATTGCTATCACGACTGTGGCGGCGACGGCTACATTATTACTTGTACTACGACCGCTATTACGATTCCTTCTTTTTCTTCGACTACTACAAGTACTACTACTCCTATTGCTACGAGTACTGCGGTTATGATTACTACTACCAGAATTCTAGCTTTGAACAGCAATACTAGTATTTCGATTACTCCTGCGGTGGCGACTACGCGTGTTATGAGTTTCCTTCTTCTTTATTCCAAGCGAGTATGACTACTAGTACTCCTACCACGACGGCTACGACTACTACTATCACTTCTACTACACTGTTGTTACTACGGCTACGATTACTAGTGCGATTACTACAGCAACGACTACTACTAATATTCTTGCTACTACTAGTACTACTACTACTACTACTACTACTACTACTACTACTGCGACGACTACTACTACTACTACTACTACTACTACGACCACCACTATTACTACGACTACGACTACTACTACCACTTCTGCCAGTACTGCGACAATGTCGATTATTTTCCCACGACGACGACGACTACTACTACGACTTCTACGACGAATAGTATTTCTGTTCCGCCCGCTCCTGCTATTACTACTACGACTGCTACTACCACTACTGCTGCTACTACTACTACTACCTCTACTGCTTCTACTACCAATACTACTACTACTACTACTACTACTACTACTACTACTGCTACTACTACTACTACTACTACTACTACTGCTGCTGCTGCTACTACTACTACTACTACTAGTACTACTATTACTACTACTACTACTACTACTACTACAACTACAACTACTACTACTACTACTACTACTACTACGACTACTACTATTACTACTACTCTTACTACTGCCACTTTCAGGACCTGCTACTA